TCGTGTCATTGTGATATTCTAGCCTTTTATTTGAGGAAATAAAAGAAATTTATGAGCATATCATTCGGAAAAATACAATGATAAGTTATGTAGCAAATTATGCAAAACTCAAAGATACTTAATTTTATTTTCGATTTTCATGAGAATTGAAAACGTCACTTCCACTTACAATTTACTGTGTGCATTTGTCCTATTTATTTGTAATTGCTAATTTAAACAACATCGCAATTTTTTCTGAAATAAATTAATCAACAATTGGAATAACTTGATATAGGCCCGTATACATATAACGATTGCGATTACTTCAAAGTTGAGAGGGAGACGACGGCGCCTAAAAAAAAATGTGTACCTTTCCAGTAATATAGAATCATGCGTTCAAATTAAAAACAATTAAGTTGCAGTAGTGATATTCCCGATTCTTTAAATAACGAAACTATAATGGACTTCACAAGGGTAGAATTCAACATTAATTTATGTACATGTTCAATTACAATCAGTATCAAAATTGGCAGAGTTATCGATAGGTCATCCTGCGTCACCTTTCAGTGTAACCGATGGATTCGTCCAGAGAAATCATCTGTACCTGAGCAAAATCGCAGCGCCTTTTATTCATTCGTCAAAGAATAGAATCAGACATTTTATCTTTTAATACTCGTACATGTTCAAGAAAACCTTTATATTTGTGTCTAGAAATATTCTTACGATTTATGCAAATAACAAATTCTTGATTTTAAACTGAGTAAATCGATGACTAGCATCGTTTTAGATAACTCTGGGACTCGCGTAAAAATCAAAGAGCGGTAATGTTGACCTCCGGAATGTATATAGGTCAATGCATGCGCGATCGATAAACAGGTTGCACAACTGTAAACAAAGCAGTCAAGGTCCGAGGAAAATTTACGATGCATGAATAAAATGACAGTGAATGATTTTAATTAAGCTTGATTTTTTTTTTATAAATAATGCAACATTGAGTCTCAATCGAATGAGAGATAATAAGTTTTTTCCTATCTCCCGTTTTGTAATTCAAACTAAATACAAGGAGAAAGTTGTCTCTGAATAATCTGTATGACATCCAGCTAGAGAATACGTTAAAAACTTTATTTCAACAAAGTTTAACATTCAGTTTAGTTAAGTATATTATTCTTATCCAGTTTATTTCGGTTATACGTGTTATACGCGTACGCATAAAGAATTCTTCACTTGTCGTATAAAATTAATCAGTTACCTGTACATAAAGTTTGCAGCTCATTCAATAACACAAGATTCGAACAAAATAACGTTTTCATGAGATCAATAGGATGTTAAAGAACCCATTTCAAATCAATAACCATATCGAAATATTTATCGTTTTTGAGTTATAATGCAAAAATTTTCATGCCCCCTTGACCCCTAATTTGAGGGGCCAGCCCCTTTTTTATGATGTCAAATGATAGATCTTAAAATTATGCACAATATTTGTGAAATATGTTTTAACAAATTATTTTTAGTTTGAAAGATACACAAGGAAATATATGTAAAATTTGGCGCTTTTAGGCATTCTCATTTTTGACCCCTATTTAGCAACGTTTGGGGCGCAGAAATCGAAAAAGAAAAACCGATAGGCACAACTTCAATTTTTCTAGTATTTAAATGCAGTAGACATTCTGCTCCAGCTTTTGTCGTTTCTGAGCCTTTGTCTGGAAACGAACAGTAGCAAATTTTCACTTAAAGGAAAATAACTCGAAAGCGGAAGGGAATTTTTTAAATGTATGGAAACATTTTAATTGAGTTTTGTAACGTCCAAAAACTCTGAAAATTTGAGCGAAATCCGTTCAGAAATGAGCGAGTTACGAGGTCTCAAAGTTGGCGTCTAGGAAAAAAAAAGAATAATAGGGAATAATCTTAACCATCAGAATCAGTAGAAGGTCTTCCGCCTGAGCGGAAGACCTTAATTATTTAGAAATATAACTAAATACATGTATTGTGAAAACTTCATTAAGGAAATTGGATTCTGCCATAAAAATAATGGGAACTTTTAATCAAGTATATTTTAGCCGGCTTTGCTGAAAGCAAAGTTCTTGCTATAGGCATCAGGATCGACCCTCACTATTAATAGCACGGTAAGCAAAAATCCAAACAACATCAAAGCAGACGCTTCCGATAAACAAAATATTCCCATTGCGAGACAAAATTCAATCAAATATTTTTAACATCCAATTCGTTGTTAATGTTAATGATATATATTAATGCTTGATCATTAAATTGAAAAAAAAAAGATATTTGCTTTATTCTGATAATTCTGATGTAACAATTTGTGCACATTTGCTGTTGAATGCGTATTGCAAGCGAACTATTTTCAATAGCGCAGGCTTTTCGAAATGTTAAAATTGTTGAAGAGTTTCGTTTTTTTTAAAATATTTTTTTCGTCTATGTTCTGTTAATGGGTATATTCTTTTTTGATTTTAAGCTAATTGATAGTAAAGCGAATTGGAATTTAAAGAATAATCATGCGTTAAGTTGCTTAACGATGCACATGTATCAGTGTTTCTACATGTAGTTGGCGATAAAAGTACTGTTGGTTCAAACTAAAAGAACTAAAGTCTAATATATAATACACATGTGTATTATACTAACTATTCCAAGACTGAAGTTTTATGTATATTATTTTAAATCATAGTCATACAAACTCTACCTTTTTAAAACCAAAGGATAAAAGAAAAATAATTATTGACTAATTTTAGATAAAACACTATACTAGAGCAATTAAAGCCCGGCTTTTAGTTCTTTCAATACTTTAATTATACTTTGTATTTACAGATTGCTTTATTAAAAATCAATACACAAAATGGGGGTCAATGCGTTTCTTTTGTCCACTACAGAGCATTTAGTTTGACCTTTTGGCACTATAAATTTGTCTTTCACATTAATCAATTAAAAATAAATTCCTCCTCCATTTTTTGTTCAAATAAATTAAGGGAATACTTTATATTTATAGACACATTAAAATTTGTGACAACGAAGAAATTTTCAAATTACTCCGCGTGTTCAAATATTTGACGTTTCTGCACTCAAATATTTCTCATTTTTCCGGCATCAAAAATTTAAGAAGCAGAAAAATCATATGAAAGTTACTGAATTTTAGAAGAATGGTTAAAATATTGTAAATATTTAGAAAAGAAAATTACAAATGGGAGTCTGTGATGTTATTTTTATATATTACTAAAATAGTGCAAATTTTAAGTTAAAATTAGGGCTATTTTTTCTTCATTTTAACAATATATTTGAAAGGACTCACTGCAGTTTATTTAAGAGATACATGTAATTTAAAACAAGTCTTAAATAGTCTACTGCACAAAATAACTCTGAAAGGAAGCTGCATGTAAAAATTGGAATCCAAATTTAAAATGATTTATATACTTCAAAGGAGAAAAAAATATTTTCTTCCAATTAAAAACCTTCTGCCAAAAAATATAGTGAGCTTCTTTAAAACATCATGCAAATTTTGAAATATAAGTTAACATAAAAAAATCTTATGAATGCTCAGAAGCCAACCCCATTAATTATAAAGATTAATTATATAAACAAGACAGTTTTTAATCTTTACTTATATACATGTGCATATATAAATATACATTTACTTTTTGCAGTTCAGATCATATAGAAAACAAGAAATTTCTAAACGTCGGTCTTAATTTAGGCATTAGTGTGCACTAAACCGGAATGTTATGCTGCAGCAAAGTCACCAAAATTTAAAGAGTAAAATGTGCATAGCTTATTTCTCTAATTTCCATAAAAATACTGTAAGAGTAGTTTGTAATTAGGGTCTGAATATTCTACAGATTGTCCCGCTTTTTTATCGCTCAAGACAAAGAGCACACAATTGATTGAACGGGCCAGTCCTCCATGACATCTGATCCTACACCTGATGTTTTAGAGGTCACCCTTTGCTCTAATCCCAATTTGTATCAGTTGTTTAGATGGAATTTGTGCATTTATAAGTACTGTTTCTATTTTCAGCATTTCATTAAAAAAACTTAAATTTGCATGGTTCCTCATTTACAAAGTTTAGGTCATATCTAACTTCCGAAGCAAGTCTGGTAGTGTCCATCCCTATGTTAATCCCCTGCAAGTTTGGTCCAGGTAGGTCTAATATAAATCAGGATTATATCTGCTCTCCAAACGTCAATCAGATCTTTTGAATGCCAAATCAGTTAAACTAAACATGGATAACAACTAAACGCCTTGCAAACTTGTTTACTTGTCTGGAAGATGTAGGTATATGTAAGATCGTACTAAGACGGGGCATTAAAAGCAAATCTGGTAATGTTCATCCCTAAATACAACGTCATTGCAAGTTTAGTTCTCAGAGGGCTTATAGTTTCTTGGAAACAGAACTACTAATATTTAAACCTATATTTACTAAATAATGAAGGTCAGATCCAGCATTCAAAGCAAGACTAGCAGTGTCCATTCTTAGATGCATCATCAATGCAAGTTGGTTTATCTAGGGTTTATTAAAACTTGGAAGGTGACCTTCTGCCAAATCTTTAACATGGTAGCTCATCTTGAAAACATAGCTCACATCCAGCATCCAGGGGCAAGTTTTACATAAAAACTTACGACCAAGTCCAACATTTAGTTCTACTTGTAACTTTCTAATTGACATAAAATTTAAAACGGCTTTAATCTTCTTAAAAGGAATCTAGAAAGATGTTTTAAAGCTAGCAATTTTAACGATAATAATTAATTAAGAAAAATTCTACAATCAAATAAAGTTTTTGGCCTTGTCGTAAGTTTTTTGTAAAACTAGCCCCAGGCCCTAAGATCATAAAACAGACTAAGACTAAAAGTCAAATTACCAAAATATTTAAAATTGAAAAATATATATATCGAAATCTGCAGATAAAACACTTTTATGAAGCAATACTGACAGTTACTATTTTGCTTGACTTTAATTCAGCATAAGGATTTCAACTTAGGCAGAAGATTTTTCATGATCCCTGGGCAAGGACTTTAATCAGATGTTAAATTATTACAATCCTTTCCTTTTAAAAAATCACATAAAGGTCCATTTATCACTTGGAACTCGAAAATTATACAAATAAACAAAAAAATTAAAAACGGTTTGTACATGTATCTGAAGGCAAAGAAAATGAATGCTTATATAAGAACAAGTAGATCTTTAGTCAAGGTATGCCTAGCTTAAATAGAAATTAACGTGACGTCTGGCTTCATGAAGGATTGAATTTATTTTGATTTTTCTTAATATCTTGGATATCTTTCTGCTGCTCAAGCAGACGTTTTTGGATATCTGTCTGTTGATCATGCAGACTTTTTTGAATATCTTTCTGCTGATCACGAAAACGTTTTTGGATATCTTTCTGCTGCTCATCCATACGTTTTTGAATATCTTTCTGATGATCGTCCATACGTTTATCAAAATCTGATTTCATTTGTGATATAGCATTTAAGATTGTCATTGTATCCATACTTGGTTTTACACTTGAAGACAATCTTACTTCCACTGGAACGATGCAACTACTTGTCACAGGAAGTTTAAGTGATTTCAGGACATTCTCTATAGGAGTCACAAGACACGTACCACGTGATGTGTATCCTATTGCCATTCCAATACAACTCAGTGTTTCATCCTGATTAATACAAAACACAAAGGATCCCGAGTCACCTAAATCAAAGAACTGTCCACGTAAACCCTCAATTTCCATTTGATTATACACAGTGATATTCCTGGGATTGGTTGATCCCAGAATATCAGGTAAGGTCAAGTTGTCCGAATTGATCCGAACGTGCATACATTCGTTGAAGAGGCAGCCTAGTGTTAAACCTGTTGTGACTCCGTATTTCACAACACTATCAGAAACCAACTTTGGCAAGTTAAGCAATGGAACAATTTTTCCTTGGAACTTTGGTGGTTTGTCTGCTTGAAATCCTGAAAAATAGTTAATGTTGTTACTGGTAAACATGATAAGAAACCTGCATGAAGTCAACGGTTATAATTACTTGAGCCCGTCCCGTTACATATTTTTAAAAAAAGTTTTTAATTATTTTTCCATTTGTTTTAAAGCCAAGGGTACAGGAATCCTACAAAAACATGTACATGAAATATAATTATTACATGTTCCAAACTAAGCCTACATAATGGATGGAATAAATAAGCATTTTCACTATCTATGGATGCTGTAAAATAATTTAGTTCATATTGTAGCTATGCATTGCACATTATTTATAAAAATATTTCAATAAAATATACAAAGTGGTTCGGGAAGAAAAGGCGAAACTGTTTATAAATGTTTGAAGCCAACAAGAATACCACCGTTAGACAATCAGATATGTAATTTCAGTTATTCAAACAGTTTAAAATCCATAAGACAATTTTTAGTCAAAACTAGTTAAAGTTGTCTTTACTTTAGCAAATAAGTAAATTTAACACATTTATTAAGCGTGTATTCAAGGAGTAAAAACATCACCTGCAGAACGCAACTGCTCCTCTGTCACCGTAAGAAACCTTGCACCACTTGATGACGAGGCGAGTTCAATTAGCGCAGCGTCGACACTAGACCCTTCTAGTGGATTCAAATTGCAATCGTAAGGTTTTGGAAACTCTGCATTTATGACTTTCCCACACACTTTATATGAATGGGCACTATTAATAAATGTCTCTACTTCAGGAAGATGATCTGTTTCTCTCTTTTCGAGCTCTTTTTGTGAGAGAACCACGTGAGCACAAGTTATTAAACCAATTTTGCTCTCAGGTAGATTTACAAATCCACCAATAGTACCTACACTTTTACTCCCTTTACGACGAATATCTCCTCCAATTTCTATCGACTCACCATTTCCAAATCTACAAAAACCCTCCTGAACATCTACTTCAACATCTCTAATTTTTCTTGGGAACTCCTCTTCTCCATAGGGAATGTACCCTTTATGTAGACATAAGAAAAGAATACAAGGTTTTTCCACAATCGTATGTTTTCCTTTTGAATATCCTATCGATTTATATGGTGAAGCCGATATCATTGTTAGATTGTAATGTCTCTTGAACAATTCTCTTGCTTCATTTTCTGAGACCTTTGGCAAAGTTTTCTTTGAATATGAGCTTGCAAAGGACTTAAAAGCATTGTTCGCTTCATCAGATGGGTTTGTATAATTATACAGGAACATTTTCTTCCCCATGACCTTTATCTGGGTTATATCAGTCATTTCAATAGAGCCTTTAAAAGATAAAACAATAGTCAAACTTTTTCCCTTCTCACAATCATGGCACAGTGACAGTTGGATTGAATTTTGTAGGAGACTTGTATATTTTCTAAGAATAATGCATTTAGCTGACTGTAAAATTGTGTCAACAATGACAACATTTATCATTTTAGATGTCCTCATTAATAATGTTTCCAGCTGAAAGTCGTGATGAAATCCATACAAACGCACAAGCTCTGACAGCAGTATGTAATTCCTGCTTCCAATTGCAAAATCCATCAAATGTTTTACTACAAAATGCAGTTCATTTACTTTTACATGTGCAAGTACGTTCCTTGTGTTGATGGTAATAAGAACACAGAAAGTGCTGACAAAACATTTACATTTCTGGGCCCGAGCCTCTTTCAACTTTTCACTGCAAAATTTAATCCATCCGAAGATACCCTGGGTACTAAATTCACTGCAAGTCTCTATTTTTCCTATTGAACAATGCTTGACAGAACTCCCACAAATATTATTACAGTCCACATATTCAATTCTATGTAGTAGACTCTTCACTTCACTTCCGAAGGTTTCACTTTTTAAAGCATCAATTTGAATCACACTTGTTGATTTAACAACAGGTGTTGGCTTACCAGGTAAGTTCAAGTGGGGCCTGTAATCTGTAAAAATAAAATTAAAACAATGCCTCAAACATTGTAGCAAAGACTGCAAGGCTGTGGTTATCCGGTAAGAAAAACACAATTGTTGATATTTCATAGAACATTTATCGTGTTAGCACATCACAGTATCAAGTACTGTATATGTGATTAAAAGTTGCAGAAAGTCAACCTCTTTATCAAAATTTTAATGCTTAAGAAAGATGCAACTGATAAGCAAAGGACAAGTGCACTTAAATGGGCCCTTTTTAGGTTCCATTTTACTTCCGAATATATTGCCAAATCGTTCTCTATTGGTTATAGGTATGCAGCTAGGATAAGGCCGTCCGTAAAATATCAAACTGATCAAATTGTAGTAACTTCTCTAAACTACCTAGATATGTCGTCATAATAGAATATGACGTCCTGTCACCGCATACTTGAGCTGACATGACGGGGAAAGTGACATAATTTTTACATAGGATCTAGATTTATTTTGAAGACTTGCTGGTAAATTAAAGTGTCAGGATTGTTTTTTTTTAGCTCGAGTGTGCTGTTATGATGTTGAACATTTGAAATTTGAATATACCTATTCCTTTCGCTTGTCCAATCTGCACATATTCAAACAATAGCGAAAATTTATATGTGAAACGCTCCCCGTATAGGTACGTAGACAGAGTTAGAATTCATGAATCGTGTTTATATTGGACTGGCACAAGTGATAGACAAGGATCAATTGAAGATATTTGGTATGAATCTACATGAAAAATAAGTCCTCTAACTGAATTTTGCTGGGGGGTTGTGTGTTTATCCATTTTTGTATAAATTGCGATAAAGAGTGGAAAAAACCCTCATATATAGGTAAGTTAAATTTCTCTTAAAATATTTTCTTAACGAATAGAAATTAAACCTGCCCCCAGCACTTTCTATGTCCTAGAGATCACGATAAATTGATCTATGTAATAAACTTTGCACAATATTTTTGTTTTGCACTTGTGCCGAAGCGATTTTTGTGCAAAAATTAGGAATATTGTAAATCTACATAACGTAATCAACACAGTTATGTGACATCACAAAAATGCTTAAAAATAAAACCTTATTAAACTATTATCTCAAGTTGACGGCAACTTCAAACAAGGATTACATATTAAAATTAAAATCTAGCTCAACATAAAATGAATATTTTTTTAGGCATGTTAAGCATTCGGACAGCCTTATCATAACTGCGTTGATACTAGTGGATATTTCTAATTATAAAGCATGTTAAGCACTACTTAAATCAGCATGGATTTGAAACAATTGAATATTTTTAAATGTCTATGGATACCTGTAAATCCGGAAAAGTCGTACCGAACCTTCTTTTAGTTTTTTTTATGTAAATCAAGGCCAATAGATATTTAAAGCTGAACAAGACTCGTAAATAGGCAGTCGCCATTTTCGATAGCATTATCTACGATACATCAATACTAGGGTATACTCGTCGCATTCGTTACACTGCTTTATTGTCACGGGTATCGGCGTGGAATGGCGACCCGTGTACGACCTGGTTATCTTGCATTCGTTTATCTGTGTTGTTCTTATACTGCACTGACGTGTACACCTATAATTGTAAATTTATTTGATATATTATTTTCCTGCATTAGACGAAGTATTACGTTATTATTCTCGCTACCGAGTTCTGTATAGCATATATACGTCCGTCTACATCGGTGTCGACTGATTACACTGAACAGTCACTGTGACTAATTTTTGCCCTATTTATAGGGGTCTGCAGAGAAGCGAGACTCCAAAACAAAAATGGCGGACAGATTCATTTTTCGAATCGTGTTCAGCTTTAAATCGATACTTGAACAATCTGATGGTGGATCATAGTCGGGCGCGTTTGCGGAATTATATTTCTTGCGCCAAACCTGTTTTTAAAAATATTGAATGAAGTTGTGTAGTTGCCTGAAGCTAAAATGATTAAACTAAGAAAATGGTACTCTTGCATTTGAAAAATTACGATAATAATTTCATTGCATTTAAAATTAAAAAAGGAGTGTTAAGGTGACTTTCAATACCGGTTTCGTCTTGTATGAAGGTTATAAATGTTTGACACTTTATGAATGACAATAAGCTCTTTTTACCCTCCTGTGTTCTAAAAAACAAATTCATACAAACATCTCTAAGCGGCACGACTTTGACTTACTGAAACCAAACCTGGCAATGATTTCCAGTAAGCACTTTTGAGGAATATTTACCTAAGTAGAGCTCATGTGACTTTGAGTATTTTAAATAATTTATTCCACACTTGGGTTCAACATGGGTCATACAGGTAAACAGCCCTCACTTGCTATAGGAAAAACATTGTACTTTTTATACATTTTTAATATTTTAAGTACGAGCCTAATCGTCTGCAAATTTCATACTTTCACACAAGTTTTATAAATGTATTATGCGTCTTTTGTCATTCGCACAAGTTTGCACAACGATAGGCTCATAGTTAACAAACGCTTTGAAATGAATGACCGTTCTCGATTTACTATAGAACATCACAAATGTCGGCTGACCCCTACCACATTGTATAGGTTTGTTCTTTATATATTCGTGGATTTCAGCGGTACAATTTGTTGAATCGTATTGTTTAGATATCAATTAATGATTTGAGATGAAAAATTTAGCTTAATTTGATTGTTTATGTTTTCACATTTTACCGGGGCCCATAAGTGCACTCGTTCTTTGTCTCTAGAACTCTTCGTATTTTTCAGTGTTAAAAGAAGCATTAATATTTTTTTCTATGATGCTAAGGTGAGCTCCAGAATATCAAACTATATGTATGTTGTTTTATGGTTTAATTTGACAGATCGAGAATAATGTCAGGAAGAGGACATTTCTTTGATTTTTTTATTACATAAATATTTTTTGTTTTATAAATGCGTGAATAGTGGTTGCTGGAAGCTTCAATAAGAGTTTATTATTTTAAAAAAAATGTAAGTTGAGTAGTGGTGTACATATTTATTCAAATCAATGTCAATGGCCCGAATTGAGAATAAAAAACAAAAAAATAAAAGTCACGTGTATATACAAGGGATGGCAATTTGTAACTGGTTTACTGATTAATCGGTCGAAACGATAGCAGTCGGTTAGAAGAAAATCTGCAATAGGTTAGTTGGAAAAAATAAAATATATGTAAAATTGAATGCATTTTTCTTTTTAAAGTAGAAATCTTTGCACAACAGTTGACAATTCAAAGCATCTATGGAATCTGATTTGGAGGTAATTATGTCTCTCCGGATTGAGACCGTGGATAGTTGGTCACTTTGCGTTGTTGTTTTTTTAAATCATTTTAAAAATCACTGTAAAATTAGGACTACCTGTACAGTTCAGAATAAGTTTTATTTATTTTGACATTGCAAAATGAACTTGTGTAACACATGCATCGACAACTGTCAATGATTTGTTAGCTTCGTTTCATGGTTTTCTTAGTTTTTTCTGAACCACAGGAATTTAAAAAAATACATGTCTCTAATTTAGAATCAGGGCAAATGGAATGCTTTAACGTATAGTGTTTTACCTGCCGTCGTCTGTTTCAGTCATTATGTGTATGAAGATAGGGCTACTTGTTAAAATAATGCCAAGATAATGTATATTAGATACGATTAACCAGTTAATCGGTCGGAACGTCTTCCGGTTAACCGATTCGCAGTTCTGTATTTGATTGTCATTCCTAGTATTTACCATGTTTACAAAAGAAAATATGTCCTCAAATTTCTTTACATTTATCACTTAATTTATGAACTGCATTTACAAATTGATCGGCTGGCTAATTGGTTATATACAGGTATGGTGGTTTTCACTGTTTGGTCTTGGTGATTAGATTATTTCCTCATTAAAGGACATGCATGTGTCTGTATACACATCAAATTCTTCTGCATCAACTTTGGTCAAGACATGGTTTCGCAGCTAGGATAAGGTTGCCCGTAAAATATCAAACTGTTCAAATTGTAATAAATTCTCTGAACTACCTAGCTATAACGTCATAATAGGATATGACGTCAAGTCACTGTATACTTGAACTGACATGACGGGGAAAGTGTCATAATTATTACAGGGTATGTAGATTTATTTTGGGGGCTTTTTGTTTTATTCAAGTGTAAGGATTTTTTTTTAAGCTCGAGTGTGCTGTTATGATGTTGAACATTTGCAATTTAAATATTCCTATTCTTTTTGCTTGTCTTACATGTACATATTCAAACAATAGCAAACAATTATGTGTGAAACGCTCCCCTGTACGTCCGTAGACAGAGTTAGACTTTATGAATCGTGTTTATATTGGACTTGCACAAGTGATGAACAACGACAAATAGAAGATATTCTGAGTGAATCTACAAGAAAAGTTTGTTCTTTAACTGAATTTTGCTGCGGGGTTGTGTGCAGTTTATCCATTTTTGTATAAATCGCGATAAAGAGTGTAAAATACCCCTTCTAATGTTGGTAAGTTGGTAAAATATTTTCTAAACGAGTAAAAATTAGACCTGCCTCCAGCACTTTCTATGTACAAGAGATAACGATGAATTGATCTATGTAACAAACGTTGTACAATATTTTTTTTTTTGCATTTCTGCCAAAGCAATTTTTGTGTAACAATATAGGAATATCATAAATCTCCGTCACGTGATCAACAGAGTTTTGTGACATCACAAAAATGCATTAAAATAAAACCTGATCAAACTTTTATCTCAAGTTTATTGAAATTTCAAACAAGGCTTACATTTTAAAATTAAAATCTAGCACAACATAAAATGTATATTTTCAAGGCATTTTAGGCTTTCCGACAGCCTTATCATGACTGTGTTGTTTCTTAATATTATTCCCCATCATGCTCTTATAACATTTCCTATCATGGAAAATACATTGTCTTGACCAACAAACAATTTTATTTATCAACATTTAATCTTCATAAGTTCAAAATTTGAAATGCAAACATACGGTACCAAAAATAATATTTAAAAAAATCAGACCATCCATCCACCTCTACCCCCAAAGCATTTTATAATAATATTGTCTTGAAAGCTTTTAACATTCAGATTGTTCATATCGCTAAGTTCACAGGTGCGTGAAAAGCAGTCAATATATTGGGTTTCAATACCTCAGTTGGAACTGTATGCCGGAGACCATAGGTTCAGTCCTGGTTGCAACTTGATTTTTCAACAATTGTAACAATTGCGCCCAACGTAAAAAAAAATCACTAGTCTATTCTCTTGGAACATGCTTCATGCATTTCCTAAACTCATAAAATGCGAGGACGAATTTCTTTGAAGAGGGAGAATATGTCACAGGGTTCACAGGTGCTTGAAAAACAGTCAATTTATCGGGTCTCAATTCCTCAGTTGGTTAGAGTACTGGCACGGTACGCCAGAGACCCTGGGTTTGATTCACGTTTGAGACCCGATTTTTCACAACCTGTGACATTCATACTTCAGGTGCTGTAAAAATCAAATTCATTCATTCAAATTTGAACATACACTACCTGCTAACTGGGGATGCTTCCATATTTCTTTGACTATCAACCAATTTTTTAGAATGGGGCTCCTCCATACCCCAAGGGTCATTGATTGACTTGAACAATCTGATACTACACTATGTTTATTAATTTTACTAATCATGGCTCTGGTGTTCTTGAGAGGATTTTTATGATCTTTCCCGTTGAGTGAACCCATGACTTTATGACTGCATGAGGAATATCATATGATTTTAAAACATTGTTTACAGACCAAAAGACAAAGGGACAAACAATAGACACCTTGACATATTGCATAAACTGTATTCGGTAGAGCTCAACATAAAAGTAAATTTTTACTCAGAGTACTTGCGCAGCACAGTTAAGGTTACAGTAAGGAGGCGGAGCCTAATTTGTACGAGAAATGTTTACTATGACTTCACACATAATATAAGGTCTTCAAAATACAACAAAATGAAATTATTTGCTTTTTCAAACAGCTGGATAGCTGTATACTACATACAAACTTACTTTTTCATGCAGTTTTGTCGTTTGTTAAATCCCACACAACAGTATATAAACGATGCATCGATCGCAATGCACTTGTCAATGTGACGTCATCTCGCAAAAATGACGCAGTTTGTACACAGTGAGAGGCTGATCAAGTCAGATTTTGTATAAATGAAAAATGTCTTTTGTTCTCAAATAAAATAATATTTGCAGTAAAATAAAAAGCCGTTTACTTGGATGCGATGTCTATTTTATTATTTTATTTATAAACTGTACGTGCATTCTCCAGACAAGCGATACTGTCGTGTGTTTATATGCAGATTCATTGAAAAAGTAATGGAAGGTCCCTAATAAATCGATTTATTGCAAGGGCATACCCTCAATGTTTCTTGTCAAAATTTTACACATAAACTCAAGAAGCATTAAGATATTTGAAAAGTGCTGCGAACCTCTTGAAATCTTGCAAATAAATTAATTATAGCTATATTTAATGTAGTTGACCAGCAAAATATTCAACCTGCCGTTCAACAAATTAAATTTTACCAATTAAAAAAGGGAATCATATAGGTTCGCAGCACTTTTCACAAACTACATATAGTGTTGAAAAGGATTATAAAATAAACTAAGATTTTTAACTTGGTTATGCCCTTGCAATATCGAAATTTATAGATGACCTCTAAACTGCAAGTATAAATGCCAAAGTCATGTGAAGTCGACATTACAGGACAAGTCTAAATAAAAAATTTAAATGTCCCCAACATGTAGATTTAAACCACATAACATTTTTTGGATATCAGTGAATTCCTAAAAAGAATTGTCCATCCTAATAAAGTATGTATTTTTTTATCTTAAAAAATCGCCGATATTTCCATTTGTAACCTTAACTGTGCTGCGTGTTCTTTAATAATATTCAGAAAAGACATACCTTGTAGAAATTTTACATCTCTTTCTGTCGTTTTAAATTGATAGGCTTCATCAGGATCAAACATTTTGGAACCACTAGAGTAAACCTGAACATCTTCAGCGTATCCTTTCATAGTTTCTGAGATGATAAACATAAAACACATAACTATGACTTCTATCTCAATCTGTGATGACAACATGTATCGGTTTGCTAGATCAAGACTGTAGAAAATTAATAAAATAAATATTTAAACAAGAGGTCCATGGTCCATATCGCTCGATTGAGCATTATGGCGAGGAAAAAAACAGAAAAAAATTCAGTATGGAAAAGCAATAACGCATAAAAGGAGGGGGTATGATTTGAATTACCTTGAATCTGCAGTACATGGAGATGCTTAGTAGCTTACATATTTCCTTGCATTACCGTGCTTTCTTGCTAATAATTCTGTACTTAAGTTTTGGACCCACCCTATTCATAGGGTTCATAATTTGAACTTTGAATCTGCACCAACTGAGGGTGCGTCAATATAAATATGATCAATAATGGCTTTGTTGTTCTTTGGAAGATTTTTAAAGATATTGCTCTATATATAAGCAAAACTTTGATCGTCCATTGTGGCCCAACCTAACCTACTGGGTTGAGATTTGAATAGACTTGAATCTTTACTACTAGAGGATACATTGTACTACCTCCTAGAAATGACCAATCATGACTTTAAGATTATTGAGAAGGTTTAAACGAATATTTCCCATAAATTCTTATTTAAAATTTGATTGTCCATTGTTGTCCCACTCATCCTCCGAGGTCACATGTGAACAATCTTGAATCTAAACGGAATGTACCTGAAGAATCGTCCCTATATATATATATATATATATATATATATATATATATATATATATATATATATATATATATATATATATATATATATATATATATATATATATAAGGAATGAAGCTAATTTCAACTTATGTTATCCGATATAACATAACTTGGGGCAGTTTAAACCGCGAAGCGTTTATAAAAAAGCGTAAACTGCCCCAAGTTTTGTTATATCGGATAACATAAGTTGAAATTAGCTTCATTCCTTATAATTTTATTCCAATGTAGACAATGAGACAATATTTCCACCGGAAAGACTTCAAATTGAGCATTATTTTAAAAGTAACGTCAAGCAGAGTAATACGTTTTTGACGTTACTCATTGTGACGTAGGCAAGTTATGTTATCCAAAATATTATATGTTCCTCTGAATGATTAAGCCAATGAAACTGCTTGATTCAAGTGAAATTATATTATATATAATTCCATCGGCATCGAAAGCAAGTTTTTAACTTGCCTAGATAGCCGAGCGGTCTAACGCGCTGTTCCTGCACTGCTAGGAGACAGATTCCGTAGGTCGAGAGTTCAACCCCGGGCTGGGGCGGAAGTGAGTATCCTTGTAAAAGTGAATTTCTCTGTGCTTTCTAAATTAATATATTCCTTCACTTAGGGCAGTTATATTAGTTTAAGAGTTGTAATTTGTGCTTTATATATATATATATATTACAACAACTCTTAAACTAACATATCTGCCCTAAGTGAAGAAATATTAGTATAGGCACTTTTTAGGACAAAAAAGAAGTTAGAGCTTTCTGCATATTTAATTTTATTGCTTAAGAGTTTTTACATAAAAATATTGCCGGTATATATCCCTTAATTTTAAATTGAACAATACAGTAGCATATTGATTGTCGAAGGGAAACATTTCATTTTTTAAGTTTTAATTCAACTGATCACATCTTCTTTTTAATATACGGATGAGATACTGCTGTCGGACTCGGCATTAAAATAATCAGTCTAAAATTAGCCAAGGTTTTCTGATCCGAAATCTACTATGGTGGAGATTTGAAGCGGATCGGAAATCCTTGGCTAGCGAAGATTGAGGAATCTTGACACCCACATGCGGACTACTAAAAATCCAGCTCGTTTAAAAAGCCATGAAATAAAGTAAAAAAAACTTCTTTTTTATTGGGTAAAGGTGAATTAATAAAATAAATAAATAAATTTAAAGAATAAAAGTAAAAAAAGAAACAAAATATCGAAATGCAATATTTCTTTTCTTAAGAATGGAATTTAAATACATTAAAAAAAATGTAATAGTTAACAAGAAAGGCCAAGAACTTCTCGGACGTAGCGATCTGTACTCGACATTTTTCCTGATGGCGCCCGAAGTATTCCGAATATTTGTGGAGCAAATCGTGGAGTACTCCCAAAACGGTTTCTTTAGAAATGCATTAATTTTAGCTGTTATTACTGAGAAATCAATATAGTACAGCTGTAAGTATTTCTACAATTTCTCTAAGGGTTGTCAAAGGAATACATTTTGCCTTCATTATCAGATTGAATGCAATGAATTTTATGAACATGCAGCGTCAATGTAGTCAAAACCTGTCCACTTATAGAAAAAGAATAGTGTATCTAAAAAAAAACTTGCAGACAATAAAGTAAGATTAAGAAACACGGTATACAATATAAATTAATAAATAACTCAGGGTCTATTAGGAGTTGGTGCATAGTAGATATACAGATTTTTTAACATATATACTTTTGGGATTTCTCGGTTATCCATGATCATTATATTATTAGAATATACAAGTTAAAGGCATAAAAAAATTGATTATGTTTGTAAAAGATATGCAATTCTGACCGAAATAAATGTTCATATAAATTAGAATGGAGAATAAACAGATTATCTCAATAATTGACTGCATTTTATTTCATTATTGAAAAAATATATTCTTACTACCCTTTTCCCCGATATTTCATAGTTTTATAATGGGCAATTTTTAGTTAACTTTTATTTTCCGACATTTTAGAAAGAGTAAATTTCAAGTAATAGAACTGGGACTGAAGACTTTCCTAACTGAAAATCAAATTTGAACAATAAATCATTGACATCAAAATAAAAAGTAACAAGCTTTGCTCCGTTTTTTAAAGAAAACCATGTTTTTGAGATCAGTATCATGTGTCTATGATATAGTGCAATCACTGACATAATATAACTCAAGTGTACTTGATTTTTTTTTTACCTATCGATAATTCATGAATTGGTAGACATAAAACTCACCCCCCCCCCCCAAAAAAAAAAAAACACAAAATCGGAATTGTTGGGCATAATTCCTGAGATTAAAGATTAAATAAATGAAGTACATAGTTTCTAATCAGTCCTTCTATATAACAAGCTGTTGATCGAAGAAAAAAAATGCAGAAATGCTGAATATACCGGTAATTTTGGAGATCGATTTAGGAAACAATTTAGATCGCTGTTGGTAAAAGATGTTTACCCCCCCCCCCCCTTGAATCGGGTTTTACGCCTAAATACATTGCTCCTCATACACGTATGATGTATCTCTGCACTACCCTTTTAATACAGTAACGAATTAACTGTCCATTCACAAGATGTATGTCAAATGTTTTTTTTTCTGTTTTTAACGTATAGGCGTTGGAAACACTTCTTTGCAGATATATGCATAATACATATACTCGTATAGGCATTGAAAATTGGGTTTACCTTCTTTTTGTTAGTTTACTCCCCCACCCCTTCACTTTCAATTACCCCCCCCCCCCCTACTGTCAATTTGCTTACGACGCCTATGTATAACAAAACATATAGCTGGTGGAAGAATCACGTCAGATCGTATACTGACAATATAAACATACTCAAGGCGGATCAAGGAATATTCCTAAGAGACTAATCAGTAGACACATCTTTTAATTATAACCCAGCTCCGAAGCCAAGGAAAGGAGGGGGAGGGGTATACTGTTTTCCCTTCTGTTTGTCCGTTTCTTTCTCTTCAGTTGTATGCGTATGAATTAACTTAAATCTTTTTTTTTTGTAATTCTATCCGTTCCTTCTGTTGATTTTTGCACACAATTCTATCAAACTTTTACATAAAAAAATCATTTGTAGAATTTGATAAATTCTGGATCATAAGTCCCATCTCACACAATACTGGGGACAACCACATCACCAACCCAGTGGTTCAAGTGGTGGGCTCATTTCGTGTCAAAAAAAAAAAACCTTAATTTGTTTCGCACCCCAAGTTTCGTCTAATACCCCGGTAAATCAAACGACATGGACGTATAAAAACTAGGAAAAATATTCTTATTTGAGAAATATATTAGAATAGAATTAATAAAATTATTATCTTATTATTTATTGTCATATCATCAAAACTTTACGTGGTATCAGAGCAGAAAACGTCAAAAAACGCAATGTGCGTTAAAGTACGTGATTGTGGGGTATAGATATTTGCGTTAAAATGCGTGACTGTGGGGAAGAGGGTTAACTCAGTTTACTCAGTAAGAGAAACATTTTCAAACGTACATAGAATGCGTTATCAAAATTCTATTGAAGATTTCTAATTTTTTCTTTTAAAAAGAATTGACGTATCAATATATAATCCATTGACCAGTGACTTGACATCTGAACCATGACCCTGAGTCCGGATCACCATTAAATCTACAGTTGTGAGCAGATTTACAAGGACTTCAAGGAATTTTTTGAATTCTTGTTAACCAAGATGCATTACATGTAACTGTGATCAACGGACAAATTTATTTGTTAAAAGGTCTCTAAGTGTAAAATATGACCCTGCTTAGCCATAGAATTCAATATGTCAGGTAACTAATTTTGGATCATACCATCTCCCCATCCCCTTCCCAAAGAGGCGTTGAGTAAAAATGCTATATTATTGTAAGCCAACATTATAAAAGGTAAACTCTGAACACAAAAGTCTAGCTTACAAAGATAGGTAATGACGGACTAATAAAAAGGTTAACTTTGTTGGTTTTTTTTTTTACATAAGTTGTAACGGTTTGGGGTATGATAATCTTTTTAGTAAAATGTTTTACAATTCTTTGCATTCATTAGCTTGAATAATTAACATTATAAACAAAGAAGACACATATGTTTCAATAAAAATAAAGGTATAAGAAATTTTGATACATACCTCGCATTGGGTTTTTGGGGTGATTGTCAACATCTTCTTTTTCTTTTTCCTGTTTTATAAAAATATCGTGACTTTGAAGCATAACTTTCATACATATTCAAAATTCATATCAGGTTCTTTTTTTAAAACTGGGAATAAACACATTTTATATTAAGTTTCAGACTTTTGATATTTTTTCTTCTATAGAAGTATTATAAACAAGGAATTTATACCATTACAATGGTGGAGAGAAAAAATACTTAAAATATTTGAAGTAAATTAATGCATGTTAATCACAGAAACTATTCTATAGTAGATGATTCCAACATTTGATGATATTTTCCTTTTCTATTTAAATTTGTTTTTTTTTTACTTTATTGACCATTGAGTACCTGTTTCCAATACTTTGTTATAGCTTTGGAGTTTATTACATGCTTCTCCACTGCTGGACAGGACGGACAATTAAAAGTCGACCTTGTAAATTTTGATTCATCTACGACAGCACTGTCTTTGCTGTCACAAAATCCTACAGGTTTGCATTTGAAAGCAACATGAAATTTGATGTTATTCTCTAATGTGTTGGAAAGATCTTGCAAAATACTCTCAATTTTTTCTCTAATCTGGTGACACACTGTAACATCAACTTTTCCTTCCAAAACAAACACTTGCAACTGAATATCTGTTTGGGTCATTCCAAGCATAATAATATGATGCTGGTCATCAAACTCGAAAATCGCCGCCGTCTGGTAAATGCATCCTCGGTCTCCATCTGAAAAAATCTCCCAAGGAATCTGCATGCACGTTGCTACAAGACGATGGAAAATTCCAGCAGGAAGAAGACCAAACGCGTAGCAGAGGATGGAGGATGCAGGGTATGATGAGAAACAGTCTACTGGAAATTGCAGCTTGTTCATGCAGGGGACATACCACTTTTTGTCATTCATTTTAGCTAAGAGTCCTAACTTCTCCATATACAGCAAGATGTCTTCTTTATGTTCGATGTAACCATTGTTGTTCATTCTCCATATAGCAGATAGGAGAGTTTCATCCAACTCTCCAGTTTCATTGAATTTGTCCCATTCTGAGGCAAATTCGAATAAATCCTCTTTTGCATGGTTTTTGTCTGTTATGACATTTTTAAATGCATCTGCAAACCACTGAACGTCGAGAATAATACTTTCATTGAGAAATTGTTGGTTGAAGTGTATAATATCCCTGATGTCATTGAAAAACTGAAGCATGGAATCAATATCTTCAGTAGTTTGGAGCTTTATTCCCTCCGGCAACGTTTCATTGAACGACTCAAGTTCACCCCTACTCAAAATCTTGTGAATTTTCTTTTCCCGAAAGAATGTTTCAAACATAGCCCATGACTGTGGTAGCTCTTCACCCCAGTGATCAAGCCTGCACACGACATCAGCAATGGACAGCTTGAGTTTTTCAACGCTTTCATTGTCAAGGAAACCAACTGCAAATCGCCGCTTCACATCAATATGTTTTTGCAACGACGTCTTCTTCAGAGTCTTCCATACTTCACGGAAAAACAATGCCTTTTCCTATTTAAAAACAAATTATCTTATTTCATGCAAACAAAGAAGAAATAGTACAACAATGTTTCTATTTGAGAAAATGTGAAAAGTTTACAACAACAACGATGACAACAACAACTGACAACGGACAGATTTTGACCAGAAAAGCTCACTTGAGCTTTGGTTCAGATGAGCTATAAGCATAAACTGACCTAAACCAGATTATATTCGATAATATGGCCAAGAATTAGATTCATTCCTCATAATTTAATTTTAAAATAATTAAACAACGCTGGCTGTAAAATTGTGTTGCTTTTTAAGAGTTTGCCATGCAAAAATACAGAAAGTGATTTGAAGCGAGGGAAGCTAATAACTGATACATAGATCTAGCAGCCATGATGTTTGTTTAAAAGAGAACGAGTAACTGTATGAAGTTAAAGGTACATTTATTAAATCTGGAATTTTCCATGGAAATAAGGAGATTGCATGGATAAGATGATTAAGCTGGTCGTCAAGGGGGGTATCCCCATACCAATCCAGATTATACAAAATAATTTGCGTTCCTTTTTGGAAATCAACCAATGAGCGGCGAGAATACAAACAAAATTAAATTATTATTGTATCACAGTAGCATTACAAAATACCCACCTTTATTTTCTAACATTAATGTTCATTTTCTACTTTAACTGAATATTTCAAGAATATATTACTTTTATAAGATTCGATATAATAATATCCGTTTGACTATATAACATGTTTATGTCATGATTTTAAAAAAACGCAAATATTTAAGTTTGATACCTTTTCTGTTTTGTTCTCACAATGTGTACCAACCAGGATGACGGGAGCCTTATCACTGCCATATTGATGAATGGACTTCATCCAGAACTCAAGATAATCTGAAAAACAAAGACACATTCAGCTGTGACGGTAATAAAAGGAAGTTTTCTTTACATTTAGATAGATTGCAACAAATGATACTCATCGGTAAGGTATGGTCTCTTTTTTTCACAAACTTATAGCCATCATAGAGCAGCACAGGAGGATAAACAAATAGAACAAGATGTGTTTGTAAAACACTGATGCCCCCGTATGGCAACATATCAAAGATAAAGCTTTTCTTAAATGCAAATTTAATTAATTGGTACCAAAAGTAGGGTATTCCTTCTGGAAAATGATTGTGAAATTTGAAAGTAAGCTTATGTTAAATTTTAATAAGTACAAAAATCTCCAAGGTCATGGTCAAAAGGTCAATGTTATTAGTATCAAATGAAAGGTCTTGCCACACAAAAGACTTATATAGAGCTTGAAAGCCCTAGCCCTAACCGTTCAGAAGTTATGGTCAACGTTCAATTTCTTAAAAAGTACGTCAAACTCCAAGGTCAAGGTCAAAGTTATTGTTATCAAATGAAAGGTCTTGTCATAAGGATTAAATATGTAAAGTATGAAAGCACTAGCCCTAACTCTATAAAAGTTATGGTCGAGGTTTGCTTTTTCAAAGTAGGTCAATCTCAAGGGTCAAGGTCAAAGTTCTTGGTATCTAATGAAGGATCTTCTCACAAGGATTACATATATGAATTATGAAAGCCCTATCCCTTACCGTTCAAAAGTTATGGCCAAGGTTAAAGTTTTTTCACAAGTATGGAAATCTACAAGGTCAAGGTCAAAGGGTCAAGGTGGTTGGTATCCAGTGAAAGGTCTTTTAACAAACATTACATATGTGAAGTATAAATGTCCTGGTGTCTACTGTTTAAAAGATATGGCCAAAGTAAAATTTTAAAATTTTCATGTAAAAGTGGGTCAAACTTCAAGGTCAAGGTCAAAGTTGTTGTTATCAAATGGAAGGTCTTGTCATAAGGATTAAATATGTAAAGTATGAAAGCACTAGCCCTAACTCTATAAAAGTTATGGTCAAGGTTTGCTTTTTCAAAGTAGGTCAATCTCAAGGGTCAAGGTCAAAGTTCTTGGTATCTGATGAAGGATCTTTTCACAAGAATTACATATATGAAGTATGAAAGCCCTATTCCTTATTGTTCAAAAGTTATGGCCAAGGTTAAAGTTTTTTTCACAAGTACGGAAATCTACAAGGTCAAGGTCAAAGGGTCAAGGTTGTTGGTATCCAAAGAAAGGTCTTTTAACAAACATTACATATGTGAAGTATAAATGTCCTTGTGTTTATTGTTCAAAAGATATGGTCAAAGTAAAATTTTAAAATTTTCATGTAAAAGTGGGTCAAACTCCAAGGTCAAGGTCAAAATGTCAAATTTGGTGGTACTCAAAGAAAGGTCTTGTCACAAGGAATACACATATGAAATATGAAAGCCATAGCTCAACTAAATAAAAAGTTATGGGCAAGGTTAAAGTTTTTGCGGACAAACAGACAAACAGAGAGACAGACAGACAGAGAGACAGACAGACAGACATGACAAAAACTATATGCCCCCGAAACTTCGTTTACGGGGGCATAAAAAGTAATTCTTATTTTGGAAAAGAAGTTAATTAATAGATTCTCAGATAAAATTTTAAAAATTTAATCTGTCAGACAAGTTCGGGAAAAATTAAAACAAGCCTAAATCAGTTCAAAAATGAAAAGTTTGCGGTGGGGTGCCTGGATTGCATTTAATTACTACTTAAGAATGCCTCCATATCAATACAACATATAACTATGCTGCTTTTTAAGAAAAAAAGATTATTTAATATTTCTTGAACATTTTGTCCCTATATATTGCTCCTTAAAAATTTGAATTTGATTCCCCATTCTTTCTCTCCCTACCCCCCAAGGGGTCATTATTTGAACAGATATAAATTTTCAATACATAAGGATGCTTACATGTCAGTATGACTAAGCATAGCTGTTCTGTTCTTGGGATTTTTCCCTTTATTTTCCTATGTAAAACTTTGATCGCCCATTGTGACCCCAACCTATCCCTGGGAGCCATGATTTAAACAAACTTGAATTTATTCTACCTGAGGATGATTTCCAATTGGTTTCATCTTTCCCTCCTCAGATGTTCTTGAGAAGAATATTTTAAAAGATTTTCTCTTGTAAGCTCCCCACGGATGGCCATCCTGGAATGGGGGCTATATAAAGTAATTACACACAACACTTCTCAAAGTCACTCCTTATTTCTTGCTTTATATTTCTCAGTAAGGACAAGGCTTGGTATCAATTTAATAATTGGTTTATTAATTGATCATTCAACAGGAAATAACAATAGGTAAACAAACATCTATATTGGATACATATAGATAATTAATATTCGTCATGTCCCACAGTGTCAACCGTACTTTCAAGGATAAAAATGGTAATAAAGTTGATTTGGCATTAAAAAGCTCTAAAAATATAACATCAGGTGTCCAGTGTGTTGGGAGATAATTTACAGTTGTCTCACCTAGGTTTAGGCTACGATCCTGCGATGTTGCTTGTGCAACTTATCTGCCAGAGACTGGCGAGGCACTTATATTTATAACCTTCGGAAGTCGTCATGTGACATGAATTAACGAATGAAAAAGCTGTATGGTGACACTCAACCAATCACAGCGCTGTACGGCGCCGTACAAACAGAGATCTGCCAAACAGTGCCAAACAACGTCAAACAAGGCTGCCGTACAACGAGGATTATAATTACAAAACCGAATTAAAATGTGAAAAGACAAAATAACCAATAAATATGGATTACAAAAGATGTTTTCATCTACTGTAAGTAAACAATTCATGTGAATTAAATGCGTATTTCATGATAGAAATCTGCAATCGTATAGCAGACGATATTCAAATAGCACTGTCATAGTAAAAATGTGTAACTACCATAAAATCACGTTTAACATAAAAACCCTTGATAAATCTTAGTAAAACATATTCAAACATTAACTTTGTGGATATTCACAAGCAAATATAACATTGGATTGCATAACAAAATACAACTTGCTCAAATACGAAACTCTGGCTAATACAAATAAGATGTCGGCGGGATGTAAACAACTTCCATGACTCCAACAATCGTGTGCAATTATGGCTATGTCAAGCGCTTATTTGACTCATAAATAATCAAGTAAAATACAGTAACATGCAAAGATTTTGAAGGTATGCACATGAATTCACAAACTATAGGATTTCCTGTATAAATCCAAACAACAAGTATGTCAAATGTGCTAAAATAGACAATACCACGTTGAGTAAATAATCAAAGGACTGAAATGTAGTACTGTAGTTAATGCATAATAAAATCCACCAAGATAATTTTCCAATAATTGTTGACACAATTAAATCATAAAAAAAATAAACTAATTAATTAAATTCTACCCCAGGTCATTACACTTCCCTCACCAGAAACTCTTAATTCTCCTGAATTATCCTGAATAAAAGCATTTCTGCACAATATAGGAAAACACACATATAATAAATTTGTAATACATGCATTGATAGATAATAAAATTAATTTTCTTTCTGATATAGTCACTTAAACTTAGAAGAATTCCAGCATCAAGGTGAAATCGTCACAACGTCTCTTCCACTGGCTGCTTCCACACTCAAGGAAATCCACCACTATTCCATCCTCCTACTTCAGCAAGTACCATGCAGGGATGTTCCCAAGGTGCCCGTTTGGACATACTCGACTCCAAAGATGGGGTGCTGTCAACTTCCATGGAGACAACATAAGCACTCAAGGCAAGGCCAAATATTTAATCTGTCCAAGAGGCCTGGATGCCCCATCTACCTGGCTGGCTTCTGGGTTCTCCCTAGAGTGAGTGCTGCAGATTCCACCTGTGGAAGTTAATGGACCGATTCCTTTGGTTGGCATGGCACGGAAACATTTGTGATGGAAGTGGCATACATCCCAGGGCCAGGATGTGTCCAGGCACTAGTGGCTAGTGTACCTATGGTAGGAGGGGAGGAACTTGGACAGGATATTATTGGGATGGACATGGAACAGGTCTCGATATGGTGTTTGGAAAGGTTAAACTGTTGGAAGCCAATGGGGTTGTGAGGGCTGTCAGAAAGATGGCAGGCAATGGAATTAAGGGATCCACTGGAATATGGGGCAGTGAGGTGGTATGGCGGGAGGACAGGGTTATCAATGGAGGTACAGGCTTTGGATTTTTTTTCTGGCTATCAAAGGATTTGGCTAGGTAAAAAGAGTTGTGGACTGCAGAGGTAATTATGATTGATGAGTGGAGGATCTGGGATTCTATACAGGGAAGGATTTGATGTCACCACATCTAAGTATTAATAAATAACAATAACAACTACAGCAATCAACTTAAATTTATTTTCAATGAAATAGCTAGATGCAGGTAAACTTAAATCATCCACTGGTTACACCCTTGAGATGCACTGGCCAGCTACACCTCGGTGCCTACCTCTGGTTAGGGCCATAGATTGTACGCGTCCGTCACCTCCCTACATCAGAGGCGTGGGCCATAGATGGTGCACCATCCGTCCCCTCCCTCCACCTACTGATGCGGGCCATAGACCGTACACATCCGTACCTCCCTCCACCAGCACCAAAATACACAAGTTAAAATAAATAAAATATCTGCATCCAGTATCAATCATTGGTATATCTTCCACTCAAGTCTAATTTCGGCTTTGGCTTGGTACAGTGATTTGGTTGAATTTTTGTTGATATTGGCTTTGGTATGCCTGGAGCCTGTAAGGGCAAGCTTTCATGAAGTGATTTGGGGAGTCACATATATAGCAGTTTCTGTGTGCTGGGTAGAGCCTACTGTTATTTGAGCTGTTTTCTAAGCGATCTAATCTCTTAATGAGACTCTGAAGGGTGGAATTAATTTCATTGTTACCTTCTTTTTCAGGTTTCTGCTTGTCAAATGGCCATTTTGATCTCGCGTTTGATTCAACGGCGCGAACATTCAACTGGCGCTTTTCGGTGCTATCCCC